TATATATAGGAAACTTTCTTATAAGGAGATTCCTAACGAGGGGGAACCGGAGTTATTATTATAGTAAGAATCTAAACGCTATCTATTTATTTCTACGATTATAAAAAGAGCCGTTCGTTAATAATTCAACCGCTTTAAAAGCTGGGTTATTAACTGCTTAGGAACTACACTTATTAATAAAACCCCTAGCGGCCTGGATTAAATACTTATATTCGCCGTTATATTATCTTAGACCGGCCTCTACGTTTCTCCAATTTCCTATTAAATAATTAAAGAAATCTATACTAGTAATATTAATTAGTATATACTAATTACATTTTATAATATCCTTAAAGGTCCTATTAACCCTAATAATATTAAAGAATTATCTATATCAAACTTTAATTAGCTAACCGAAAAGTATAAATTCTACATTATCTATACGATACGAATTAATATAGAGGAGGATATTAAAAAAATAATTAAAGAAAATAAAAGAAAAGAGGAAGGAGGAGCCTTAGACCTTAGAAATATTAATGACGGTCTAATAAAGGATATAATTAAAGAAATATTAGAAAGGAAAGGTTAGAAATATAAACGATTCTTTAATAATTATTTCTATTAATAGATTAATACTTTAATTAGCAAAGAAGATGAGGATACGCTCTATATAATAAAGGTAGCTAATTCTATTTATTTTATTAATAAAGAAGAGGATTTTCCCCGTTGCAAAAAGGTTATTAATAATTATTTTATAATTAATAATATTTCTATTAATAAAATTATATCGGAGGATATGATTAAATTTTATAAAAAGGTTAATAAACTTCCTAAGACCGACGCTTAAATTTAAATTAAATTCCCAAAATAATATTGGTACTATATTAATATATTTAAATAGGAAGGTATCAAAGTCCTTCCCCCTATTCGATTTTACGATCTTAAATTCGAATTCTGTCCGGGAACTACGCCGCCTGCCTTTCGCGGCCGTACTTTTAACCCCGACGAGTTTAACGTTATTAAAAAGTAAGTTAATAATAATTTTAAAAAGAAATTTATTAAGCCTTTCTAATTCGAAATATTAATACCAGTCTTACTTATTAAGAAACTAAATAATAAAGTACGCGTATATATTAATTATAAAAATATTAATAATATAATTTTTAAATTCCGTTACCCTTTATTATTAATTAAAGAGACCTTCTATGCAATTTACCGCGCTAAAATCTTTACTAAATTCGATATAATTATTACCTTTAACCGTAATTGCGTTAAATAGGGCTACGAATAGTTAATTACTTTCATTATATAGTTTGGTCTATTTGAATTTTTAGTAGTACCATTTAATTTATAAGGCGCCCCAAGGGCTTTCTAAAATTATATTAATAATATCCTTTATAATATCCTTAACGTCTACGCGATTGCTTATTTCGACAATATTTTTATTTATTTTAATAACGTATAAAATTACGTACGCTATATAAATAATATATTTAAGAAATTTATTAAAGCGGGCTTTAATATTAATATTAATACATATAAGTTCTATACAATATATATAAAGTATTTAAATTTTATTATTATATCGGGCGGTATTAAAATAGACTTGGAAAAAGTTAAGGTAATTACCAATTAGTAGGCGCCCGAATTTAAAAAATTCCTATAATCCTTTTTAGGCTTTACGAATTTACCAAGAAAGACGCGGTTCAGATTTAGAATAGTAATTATTAGAAAACTTTCGAATCCTTAAAGAAAGTTTTTATTAAGGACTTTGTATTTAAAATCTATAATTAGATTAAGAAAATTATTATTAAAATAAATATTTCTAATTAGGCCGCCGGTAGTACTTTCTTATAATACAGTAACGACGGCGTTTTCTACCCGGTCGTCTACTTTTTAATTAAATATATTTCCTAGGAATATCATTACAACGTCTATAATAAGGAGTTATTAACTATTATTAAAATTTTAAAAGAATAGCGGCTGGAATTTAAAAGAGTTTAATAGCTATTTAATATTTTATTAGACTATAAGAACCTATAGACCTTTACAATTAATAAGTAATTTATTTAGCGTTATATATAATAGTTTTAATTCCTATCATAGTTTAATTTCTTGATTAAATATACGCCGGGCTCTAAGAACCTTTATTTAAACGCGTTAAGTTGCAAATTAAACGACCGCCCTAACGACGTAAAAAACGACTGATTTATAGCTAGAAAACGCCCGCTCCTAAACCCCTCCTAATATGAGAGCGGCTATCTCTTTAAGGAAGACCCTATTATAAGGTTTTCGCTATACTTATTAAATACAGAGGACTTTAATAATAAATTGATTAATAATTTAATTTATACGAATTATAAAACCTCCGTCTTTCTATAAGAATTCATATTATATTTAACAGACGAATCTTAATAGTAATAGCCCTTAACGATTAAAAAGGTTTTTTATTATACTTTTTCCAAATATTATATTGTTAATAGTATTATAAAGTAACAAAGTAAAATTATTATTAACTTTTATAATAAGAACTTTTAATTATAATTAATTAATTACTAGTATAATTCTCCCGAGGTGGGCTATTTTAGCCGCGACGCTATATATAAATTCTTATAACGCGATTTCTATTAGGAAGGTATATATAATAATATAAGGTTCTTTTATAAAGGCTATTTACTTTCCGCGAAGATAAAATTATTAAAATACAGCTCCGCTGGTTATTTAAAACCTATAGTCGTCGCTCTCGCGCCCTAAATTACTATATCCGTCGATTATATTATCCCGGTACCGGAAAATACCTATTTAGGATAAACCTTTAAATACATCGCTATCGTCGTCGATTACCTTATTCAAATACGTTATTATATCCCGACGAAAATATTAGAGGCCGAAGAATTCGCGGACCATTTTATTAATTATATTTACTTAATATATAGCTTTTTCAATAGTATCCTATTTGATTAAGGTATTTAATTCGTATTACGTTTTTAATTTTCCTTTTATAGAAAGTAATTTATTATCCGTAAATTAACCTCTACTTTCTACTTATAAATTAATACCCAAATCGAGTATATTAATATAGAAATAGAATAGTTCCTTCGCCTATATATTAATTAAATATAAACGGATTGGGCGAAATAATTACCCTTAGCGGAATTTATAAATAATAATACCGTATTTTCGATTATAGGTATTTTATTATTCTTCGCGAACTACGGTTATTACGCTCGTATAGGTACCGAATCTCGTACCCCGCCGCTGCCGGATCTATCATTAATTTAGTTTCGAAAGTATTATAAAGTTAACGAATTTGTAAATTATTTCTAGAAGATTTAGGATTTTGCGGTCTAATAATTTCAATATATATAGGAATAGTATAAGTATAATACTAATAGGAAACGCGTCGATTCGCCCTAAATACTACGTTAGCGATATAGTCCTGTTAAATATAATTAATTTTACTAACGGTCGCCCTTACGTAAAATTTTTACTTCGCTAGGAAGGACTATTTAAAATTACCCGAACCGAATTTTATACTATTTACTTCGCCCTACCGATTAACATAAAATATTCGCTAATCTTCTACGTTTCTATAATATAATTATAATTTAGTAAAGGATTACTAAAATAAAATACATTATTAAATATTCGGGTAAATAACGGTCATATTATAATTCGAATGGATGATTAAGAAGAATATGAAGAATAAGTTTTTGAGAAGTTTATCGATTGCGCTTAATTAGGTGGCAATTTATATTAATATTACTACGTTAAATAGAAGATTAGGAACCCAATTTAAGAACCCATTAATAATATTATCGATTATAAGTACCGCTTATAGTAATTTTATTGTAAGAACCCGGATAAACCGGTTCTTTTAGAGGTTTAGAACCTCCTATATTGCTTCGTTTCCGACTTTCTAGTTGCCCCTGATTTTCTAGCCGCCCCCGACTTTTTAACCGCCCTTGCTTCCTTAGCTCCCGCTCCCGAGTTGCCGTAGCGTTATTCCGCCCGCTTCCGAGAGGCCGCTTCTGTTATTGATATAATAAGACTACTCCCGGATTCGGTTACGGTAGTTAAAATAAATATAACGGTTAGTAAAGAGGTAGAGGATAAGTTATACTTAGTATTTAGTAAGATTATACGACGGTTAATAGATATATAGTTAAGAAAGCTGTTTACGACATAGTTTATAAATTATAATAGAATATTGGATTTAAAGGGATAAACTTATTATTATACGTATATATAGATTTTTTAGCTCTACGAGCTTCTTTTGAGAGGGGATAGTATTATAGGGCTAGCCTATAATGTAATTATATTATATTAACTATATATATACTATGCTAGAGCTAGTACTATAGCCCAGAACTATATACTTACGTACTAGTTATATGCTTTAGTTACGTACAGCCTTATGTGCGCGCGCACGGATTGGCCTGCCTGGGCTCTCGCCTATATAGCCAGTCCTCTACGCACACTTCCCTTTCTCTCCTTCGTATAATAACGCATATCTTACCCTACCCCTAACGGTGCCCTCTCGCCCCGTGATACATTTTAATTATCCGTTAATTTAATAATTAACTATATAATAAAATTAAATACAATATTTTATGAAACGCAACCTTCGGCCCCTTCTATAACTATATTTCAAAAATATTATTATTATCGCTATAACAGATCGGACTTAAGCGCTCGTCCTTAATTAAGAATAGATTATTTAAAACTATCCTATTAGCAAAGGCTTAAATATCTTCCGTACTTTATTCGAATTAACTTACTTCTTCGATGTCGCTATTACCAAGCTCAGCAACACAAACGTCGCCTCCCTCGAGCCCAAGAACACCTCTACCGGAACTCCTTCCATCACCTCCTCCACCCCTGTGGTCCGTCACACACCAGTGCGATCACAGGCATGTTCAGCACACATCTACGTGCTGGACATGGCGCCATCGGACTTGGATTCTGAAGATGACGGAGCTTAGAGCACTCCTGATTCTGAAGGCCCATGCTTCGAAACCATGTCTGTCCTCTCGGACTTCTACCCGTCCGATGATGAGATAGACTGGTTGTCAGACGAGATTGTTGCGAGTCCCGCCACACGGGCTCGTGACAGTCGGAGAGCCGCGCTTCTGACTTGGCGCCGGTGGGAGCTTCGGGGCTCTCCGAAGCAAAGGAGCGGATGCGCGAAGCCGAAGAGTACGCGGCTTGGAAGAGAAGCTACGATGAACGCTTGGCAAAGGATATGGCCATTAGGGCTGTCGAAAAAGAGAAGGAGGAGAAGAGAATGGCGGCGCTGGAGGCACACCTCCAAAAACAACGAGAAGCCAGGATGGCACCACGTGGCCCTAGGGTCATCAGAGATCCCCTTTCGGGACGAATTTTTTCAAATTAAATACCAAGGTTTGTCTATCTTCCACGACTAAACACTTATCGAGACCACTAGAACTGACCAATCAATCTCAACAGACTCAAGAGTTCGGTTGCCTCCCTCCCACACCAACAAGACATCTACAACGCGACCACAACCAGCCAATACTCAAGGAGGTCGATAGGCACGCGCGTATCTTGAGACGAGGAGTTTGGAAGGAAAGGGAAGGGAGAACATAGTGGGGGAGACTGGCGGAAGACGGACTTACAAGCAGTGGGGAACGTTCTTTGAGGGGTGGGAGACAATGTTGGGAGAGACGTGGGAGACGGGGATAAGGAGGAGAGAATATGGCGGTGGAAGACACATGCATTGATATTGGATACCAAAGGAGGGAGTTGGGGCGTTTGACAATACTTTATTTTTTGGAAATGCTTTTTTTTTGGAAACGGTTGGGACTCGGAATGGGACGAGAATTTCTCTTTGGATGAAATACAACATCACTACTTCTTCCTTATCCCATCTTTGAAGTCCATGCAATCTTGAATCCACTCGTATTTGCCTCCAGTGACCTGTCCAGATGCCACTCGTTCCCTAGCGAGGCACTACAAGTAACGAGTCTCTGTGGTTGAGTATTGCGGATTTCGCCCGGCAAAATGAATAGAACTGGTTGAAAGCAGCCTGGACCAGCTCGAGCCGATGATTGAACCTCGTATGGCCATGGGACCGTCTCTTTGATGGTTCGCTTTAACAACCTAATCGCGAAGCGCCGATGCCGCATGTCGGATCTCGTTGTGTCATCGTCGGAAAGGTTCGTCGTGGAAAGACATTGAAAGCTGCAGTAGACCTTCGAGGGATAGTAAGAGATATCAAGAGCGATGTAGAATGGCCATGCGTGGAACAGAGTTCTTCGCGTTCGAGTTGGTAATTCCGACGCCACCGTCCGCTATGATATTGTGTTTAGCAAAGAGACTTTGCGCTGATTGTGCAAAAGAGCTTGAAACATCGATGTGGATTTCTGGCCAGAACCAGTCTAGAGGAAGTCACGATGTAAAGTGGTCATCCCCTGTCCTAACCTAAAGAACAACAGCTCACTCCCATCGTCCTTGCCTTTTAATCAAATCGTCCTTATACCACGGTCAACCTTACGCTAGGGTTCTCTAACATCCTTAGTCACAAACTAAACTAGCATCACAAACCAGCTTCCACAAATACAGCGACCGACGAAAATACGTACACACAAACACACACACCCCCCCCCCCCCGAAACTCCCAATTCCTCGAATTCGGCATCAACCTCCCTCCGGAACTTCCAATATCTACACAGAAACCAATTCCATTCCGCCGCCACGAGAACCCTTGGCAGAGAGCATCCGGCGTGGCAAAGAAAATACCAGGAGCGTCTCCGAACGAAAGGATCTAGCCAGGAGAGCGGCCGAGCAAGACAGGAAGGAGACGACGTTCGGTGCAGGGGGCAATGGAAGCGCATCCCGTCCTCTCCAACGACAGGCAGAAAGCAAGAAGCACGGAACGTAACGAACCCGAGTTCACCTTTTTGTTTTGCTGTCGGGTAGGCGTGATGGAATCATGGAAATGGGTCCAAGCCCCCGGGGGGTTAATGAGTCAAAATCTAGAGGCAGATATGCCAACAACCCCCCGGAAAGGGACAGTGGTCGAGCGGTATGGTGCGCAGCTTTCATTGCAATCCAGGGTTAGGCTCAGGGGCACATGCCCGCTTAGGTTGGGCTGGTGACCGTACTACACTACTACAAATAAGTAAAACAGTACGGGGACAAAGTAACTGAGCGGGCCCCTCTGGGATAGTATATTGTAGCTGGCGTCTTCTGGCTACGCTAAATAGGGCTCTTCTACTCCCTCCCAGTTACTTAGGAGTATACGTCCCCTGTTCGATTCGTGACCGAGACATTTCCACTTTCTTTTTTTTATATTCACAGTCGTGATGTAAATACAAATACAATGCGTATCCGAAGTGGGTTCCTGTGTGCCTGAAGAAGTGAACCGGAGCAGGCAGGTGCCTTACAAGAAGATAACAGATAAGTATTACGTCAAATGACATTATCATAGTCAGCGGTATGTATAGCAAGAGGCGAGTGACTTGATCAATTTTGCCGGGTGAAATGGGTATTGACATGTTGCTGCGTTGGTTGGTTTAGGTAGGTAGATATGTAGAATAACGAACCGCCTTGAAGCTATCTATATCCAAGAAAATAACACCGCAAATAACGAAGGCTGCAAAGAAGATTGCAATACTGAATAAAATGGAAAAAACCACTCAGCAACCGTGGTTGAAGTGAGCCACGAACGAAAGGACAGGCATAGAGGTGGAAAACAGCTAGATTCGACCTAAATCATCGACCGTTGTTGTTCAACGAATATCCGCCTGGCGGCCAAGTCTGTTGTTGCATCGGCTGGGGTCGATGCTGTGGTCCCGAATTCTGTTGTCGTTGATGTTGTTGATGTTGTTGATGTTGGTGTTGTTGGTGTTGTTGGTGTTGTTGTTGCTGCTGCTGGTGGTTCTCCCATCCTCCCGGTCCCTGCGTATGCGCCCGTCCTAGTCCCTGTGTTTGCCCTTGGCCTTGCACCTGTCGTTGTCCCTGCCCTTGTTGCACCTGTCGCTGTCCCATCTGCTGCTTCTTCCCCCTAAGCGTCTCCATCAGATCCTGCGAATACATCTGGAACGTCTCCCCCAGCGACAGCGCATCCTCCCACCGGGCACCGTACCACTCCAGTAGCTTGCCGATCTGTCCAAGCGCGGTTATGGCCCGGTCAATGTTGGGAAGGGTGGTATTGGTATCCGACAGCCTCTTCCTCGGCAGAGGCGGCGGGGCGACACCACCCTGCTGCGAAGCAGAGTGCGAGATGGTATGTGGCGAGAAGAGCAGAATGTCCGCGGCCTCGGATCGGAGGATGGCGGCGAACTGCGTGCCGACGAAAAACAGTCGCAGGACATCGTGGAAGGTATACAGCCCCGTGCTGATCGACGCGTCGGCCATGCCGCAGAGCCCGCTGATGTATGAGATGGCGTACTCGAAGATCAGAAGCTCGCCGTAGGTGGAGAGGTGCGGCGACCGGATGCCGGGCGAGATGCAGAAGACATGGTTGTAGTACATTTCGAGCTCGAACATTTGCCGGATGGAGGCGTTGAGGGAGACGGGTAAGGTAGAAAACCAGGCGTGCATGTCGTGGCACATGCGCCAGATGAAGGCGGTCGAGTCGGGAAGCGGGTGCGAGGGCGAGCCTTGGAAGAGGGATTGGTACCAGGTGGATTGGAGACGGCGGATGCGGTAGAGGTAGGTGGAGGCTTCGGCGATGGGTGAGTCCTTGTTGGGGGTGTCGGCAAGGGCGTCACGGACTTCGGAGGGAATGGCGTCGTCGGCGAAGGAGAAGGCGCGGGCGTGTGCTAGACTTATGGCTCTGCAGGGAGGTTAGTAGCTTGAATAGAAAGGGCTAGGCTACAAAGGGTCATTACCTGTCTAGGGAATAGGCGCTGCGGAAGATTCTTCGACGGAGTTTGACATCGGTTATGCTCATGCCGTGATGCTCAGGGGGGTCTGCAAATGGCCCTTGGTCAAGGATCGCACGGCAAGTGAAGCCCAGAACCTGCCATGTGTCGAAGTGATCGGGGTCGTAGGTCGAGTAAAGAGTCAGAAGCAAAAGCGACTGGATTTGCTTGACATTGCCTGGTGAAAGGACTTCCTGTGCAAAAGGCAAGGCACAAGCAAGATAATCGAGTCCATCCAGGTAATGGCTGTCATCCTTCTGTCGGCTCTGGGCTGTGGAGCCGATAGCAAGAACCATCCAAAAGAGCCAGTACTCTGCTGAAGTGAACTGCCTCTGGCTTGTTCGGTATATGTCTTGGAGGAGACCATTGAAAATATTGCGGGAGAAGGCCGGATAAAGCTGGTGGACGCTGCTCATGTAAAAGTCGGCAATCTTACTGGCCTTGTCATACGGCGGCAGTCCGACAGACCGGGACTGTGGCACGAACTTGTTTGTGGAAGCAGCCAGGATGATGGTGGCGAGGGAGAGACGAGTCTTCTCGTGGTCTTCCTGGGAAACGGGGTTAATTGTTCTGAATAGAATGAGGGTTGGTTAGGATCCGTTCGGACAAGTTGACGCAATGAGAACACATACACTGAGCTCAGTGAGGCTATAACCTGCTCGATCTCTTCATCCCCATGTAGGCGTGCTGCCCTCCGGGCAACGTTGACTCTGATATTGTCAAGAGAATCCCGGCGATCTGGACCCCAATCATCGGTCTCAGGGTCCAAAGGGCCGGGAGCAGTGGCGGGATCGGGACCAGGCTGGCTCTGCGAGGACATCTGCGACCGAGCGTAATGGAGCTGTTTCTCCAGCTTCTCGACCCTAGCTTCGAGAGCTCTCACGTAATTTGGTTCCCTCCCTCTGATGAAGCGTTCGCTGATGGGCATGCACTCGGATTCGCGACCGAACTTGACACATGAGGTACAGGCCGGAAGCTTTCCGTCACACTTGATCTTGGCACTTCGGCCTACATATCTCCAACTGTCAATATTGGCGCAAATTGGGTTGACGTTCAGGCTGGCTCACATCTTGTACACGCTGTGACTGGGCGCGATACTTTGAGCACGGGGTTGTCGAGGAGGTCTTCTTCAGTCGCTTCCGAGTCTGAGGGGAGGTCCGCGTGTGGATCATCCCAGGTGAAAGACAATGTTGACATTGGGGATAAGGTATATAGAACAACGGCTCAGGCTTTGTGGAATGACGAATATAAGATGAACAGAAGCTATAAAGCGACAAGTGAGGTCAAGTGTGGATAAACAGAGTTGATGTCAGTGAGAAGAGATGGGACGATGCGTGATGAAGTGGGATGAACCCGCAGCTGCACTGTCATTTTACACTTTAGTCAGCGGCTATGCAGGTACAGGCTGAGCTCCTGTACAAAATATTCTTTTGGGGTGGGGTAAGCGGGTTGTCATTCTCTCTTGTGCTCTATCCGCTTCATTTGAGGTCCTACAAACAGACAGATAAAGAATGAGATTGTGGCATTTGGAATACCTACGTCCACAGCTTCTAACATAGACTAAAGGGGGTATACCAACATATGTAATGCAATCCATTTTGGACGGCCATGTCCACCAGGACTTTGGAAGTTTCGCATATGTGCCTATCCACTATTCAGCTCTCAGCCTCTCGTTCGTAGGCGCCGACGGTAGGTTGCTTGCTCTCCCGAGTCTTTTTTGTCAGGGGCACCTCAGCCTCCACGACTTGTTTCAGCCAGACGCAGAAACCGGGGGAAGGACTGCTGAAGGTTCGAAGCTTCCAAACACGATCAAATTCCATCGGAGTTTGACACATGCCATGCGCGGGACCTGCCGCTGCGCATTCCTGGGCCTTTTCTTCTTTGCTTTGTTCCGACCGGGATGAACAAGGGGAAAGTGGCTATACGAAAGATACGTACCTTTTCCGCCTACATCTTGCAAGCCAAACCAAACCCAAGTACCTGCGATTTTCTTCACAACCGCTACATCAATCTCAGCACAACCCAGTATATAGCTAACCTGTATAAAAAGGCCCCTTTTGGATGCGCTAAATTTACTGGTGAAGTCCGTTTTTTAATACAGTAATTTTTCGTAAAGTTATAGTAAAAGTCTTAAAGAGGAGAGACTTGGGGTTGGACTAGCGACTTGGCGCCAAGAGACACTGCTTGGCCACCAGAAAAGGGCGAAGTAGAGAAGGTACGTATCTTTCGTATAGCCCTAATAATCGATACCAGCTCTGACATGATCTTCAGGGTTTTACATCCGGATGTGTCTTTTTCCCCTTCTTCCCTGCCCCACATGGCTTCATCGTAAACTGGGGTACCGAGGTTATTCTGCATCAGAAACGCCTCACTGGTGACCCGATCAATGGAATCCGAATGGGGGTTGTAAACATGGAGAGCACAGTTTGAAGGATATGCCGATGTACTCTTGACATTTTCTTCACATTGAGATAGGCGATGAAAACAAAAGACCTCAATGGAAGTGTTGATTTCTGATTAGTTACAAGTACCGAACAGAGCTGTGTAACTCCACCTTATCTTATCCTCTTATGCAGTATGCGAGATAAGTGCGGCTATCGGGCCGGTACAGAAAATAGGCGCCGCACGGAACTGAATGCTATTCTCACTCTGCCATCTCAAACCGCAACCACCCACTGCCGTCCGTCCAACTGCCCTCTTTTCGTCCCTCGGTCTGCCACGCCGGCTCGCTGCACACTCCCGTCCACGACCACCCTTCTTCTCACGAGGTGGCCATGTTACTCAGCCGAGACGGTCCAGAATTTCGAACGCAATCCCATCCAATCCATCGCCTATCGTTGCCCTGTAACTGTACCCTAGCCTATCGAGGAACCCTGCTGGCGCTACGTCGCCCGCCATGAATCTCCCCCACTTCACCACCCACTCGTTCCGCCGACATTCCACGCTAGCCCAGCGTTCGGACAGGCCTGAGGAGCCCCAGCTTGTGTCACTGCAAAGTGCAACCACCAAACAACACTTTGACAAGCCGAGAGCCTCTTCACCAAATCAACTCTAGTGTCCTTCGATTCGTCATCAGGCACTCGAGAGCTCATATATCCACCTTCTCTGTCGACAACTCCGAGGCGTCTCCCGCCCCCACGCCATGCTTCACGTGCGCGCAGTGGGAATCTCAAGCTGTGGTACAACTTGAACTCAACGACTCCAAGCCGAAACCGAAACCCCGCCTGTCTGTCTCTACAACCTCAACCCAGCCAGCAGCCAGCCCATGGATGCTGCCGAGATCGTCCGCCGGGCCCTGGGCTCTATCGCCGAAAGAAGATCCTCACATCAACACCTACAACCACAACCACAAGCTACGCCCTCCTACTTCCCCTTTCCGACCCAACAACACGCCGCACCCAGGCCTCCCGCCCCTCGTCCTCCACGCCGCGATGCCTCCAACCTGGGATACACGTTGACGGCATGCTGCAGATGTCGCCAGGTATGTCTCTTCCTACTTGTCGAGTCTGCCACGTTCTAACCCGAGACTTCGTTCCCACTAGAGAAAAACCAGATGCGGTACCTCCTTACCTCGATGCATGCCTTGCGAGCGAGCGGGCGCCGTTTGCGAATACTGGGACTCGACCTTGCAAAGGAAGGTCAGCCGCTCTTACGTTGTCAAGCTACGGGACAAGCTGCGCCGCCTTACCGACGAACTCGCGCAGTTCAAGACCGATGAACCAGACCCACAGGATCGCCGACAGAGTCCCGATCTGTCCAGCAGCCTGGTGCGACCCAACGTTACCGATGAGATCTCTTACTGGTTTGGGCCCAGCAGCGGTGTCGGCCTGCAGAGAACATTGATGGAGGAGGCTAAGCGCTACATGGAATCCGAGTCGTTTGCGACCTGGAATCTGTTATCCGAGAGCGTTGCCCGGCGAGGCGACAGGGCAAGCCGTATGCAGAGTATCTCGACAGGGCGCAAGAAAAGCTACCCCTTGATCAGTGAGATTCCGGTTCAGCAACTACCGAAGCGCGCCACAGCCGACAGGCTTCTCGAGGTCTACATCCAGAGAGCTCAGATATGGGCTCCAATTCTTCACGAAAAAATCCTTGAGGAAAACGTCAATGACGTGTACGACGGCGACAAGGACCCGTACAAGAGGTTTGTCGTACACATGGTGTTTGCTATAGGTTTGCGCAAATTGTCGTCGCAGTTCGCCGGTCTCGCCGACAGTTTCTACATCGCTGCTACAGAGTATTTCTGGCAAGTTATACAGCCTCGGGACCTCAAATCGCTACAGTGCATCATTCTACTCGCTCAATACTACCTGTTGTGCCCCTACAAAGCACCTGGCTATTACATTGCCGGACTGGCGACCAAGCTTTGTCAGCAGCTTAACATTGTTGACGAACAGACTATCTCCTCAGGGGTCGATGAGCAGACCCTCGATATGCGAAGGCGGTTGGCTTGGGTGACCATCAATAACGAATTGGGCTTGGCCTACATCACTGGACGACCAAACGGCTTTTCCAAGAGTCATGATGCGATCAACCTCAAGTTCTTCGAGAGCCTCCCGGATGAGAATATCACCGCGGATGGCATCAAATCCGGGCCTGCTTGTGTGAGAAAGCTGGTAGCCATACACTTTTGCAAGATGACCCTCCTGCAAGCAGAGATACGACGAGTTTTGTATGAGCAAACCATGCCTAACGTCAATAGTGAAGGACATTCCTGGGTCGCGAAGATGCACAAAAAGCTGGAGGACTGGCGGGATTCTGCTCCTGAGAAGGCCGAGCAATGGTGCAAATCCTTGTATGTTTCTTGTCCATTTGCATTGTTTTCTATTTTATCGCTAACTCAAGAATCCGTAGGTTTGCATTCTGCTTCCACAACATGATGATCTCCCTATATCGCCCATCACCGCAAATACCAGACCCATCTGCTACAGCCGCCGCCAAGTGCTACGACGCGTCCCGCCAAGTCATTGAGATTTCAAGCACACAAATCAAGGCATCGGCCATCGACGTCACATACATTTTTCTATCGACTATCCACACGGCGTTGAGTACTCTGCTGTGGTCCGTTTCCTACGCCGAAGTTCGAGCCGACCACTCGGCAGATGAAGTCAAGGACATCACGGAGACTGCGCTGGAAATATTTGACCAATGCTCCGAATTCTTGCCAGAACCACAAGCCGTTTCGGAATTCTACGACGTCTTGATTTCGGTCTCTCTACGCCGCTATCACATCAAGGAAGAGCCCGTCACTCCTACTCCGGGCTTTCAGCACTTGCCGAACGCGAGTGGATTTGGTCAGCCTGGCCTGCTTAATACCACCATCTCCAGTCCAGACATGTTCGAAACGCCTCAGGATAAGGGGACACCGATTTTCCGGGCTCCCAGCTTCCGCTATGTCTTCGACGGCACTCCCGAGCCGGAGCCGCCAACAGATCTCCAAAACTCACCATTCCGCCCTTCCCAACCCATGTTCCGCTCCAATTCGATTTTCGGGAGCCCTTCGACAGATCCTGGCCGAAGGCTCTCTCACTGGGCCCCTGAATCCACTACTTCCGTTAACCACAATGTCCCGGTAGACGCCCAAGGGCCACCGACAGGCCGTTTCGAACCGTCGATATCACCGCCAACAGACCCCTCCACCCCGATCGCCATGCCGGGAGCATTCAACCCACCCACAACTCTTCCGCAAGCACCAGTACACGTCCCCGTCAATAATCTACCGATAACAACAGAGCCCCTCACTGCCTACCACCTAGCCCCCAGCCCAGCGATGCCCCTCCCGCAACAAGCACCGCCGCTAATACCGACAACCACAGCGCAGCAAGCCTGGTTCAACCCACCCCCACCGCTCCTCTCACCACACACCTTTTCCTCAAGCAGAGGCAGCATCAGCCTCTCCGGAACTGCCAACGACGTCATGCTCAACCCCGGTCTCGGCCTCTGGCTCACCCGGTTCAGCGACAATTACTCTCTTAACCGCGGTCCACCGCCTACTTCGAATAGGTGGGGACCTGCTTGGGCTAACACTAACAACAATAACAACCCCAACGGCGTTGGTGCTCCGGGTATGGGAGCACCCTGGGGAGCCCAACAACAGGCACCCCCTGGCCCTCCCCACGGCTCTATCGGAGGAGGGTTGCCGCCAAACAATAACGGTAACATGAACAATGTCTGGGCTACGCACTGGTTGGATCAGAGACAGGGAAGTCTCAGTCAGGAACAGCAGGATGAATTGATGGATGTGTTGGAGACGGAGGGGATGGCGGAGATTGATATGTTTTTGAAGATGGAGACTTCGTGAGCGTGAGCTTCTTGTCTGGGTGCGAGTGAGTCTCGGGGGAAGTAGGATGTTTTTGGATTGGGATGATATCGTATCTTGGAAAGACTCCCGGGGCCCGTGGCTTTAGAAAACTTGGGCTGGGACTGGATGAGGGAGAGGTGATCTGGATAAGGATAGGGATCGTCAGGGTAGATGGGATTTGGATATGTGGACAGGGCACTGAGGGGTGAGGGCAGCGCGGGCGGCAAGATCTGTTTTTAAGGTAGTTGGTGTATGGAGTATATTTCACATATCGGTAGCGGGATTGTACTAACAATTTTGAATACGACCTTGGCGTGAATCTGTTAGACTTGCATGGGGCACCTTACACTTTTGCAATTTCGATGATCGTCAGGGGCAAAGACGACTGTCAGACAGATAAGGGTTGGGGTTGAACTAGCAACTCGTCATGACTCTTCACGACTCTTGAAAAGAGGATGGCAACCAAAGAAAGAGACAACATGATGTAGAGACGGTATAGGCGCTGTTTAACGATGTTAAATTTAACTGTCCAACTCGATGCTTGTTTCTGGTCCGCAATACTCGCCAAGAAAATCTAGAAAGCACATCATCAACGGTCTTGTTACAATCAGCAACATTTCGTGTGATACCCCATGATCAATATCTGATACTCGCTAGTCGATACTCAACATCATCAGCGGAGAAACTCAGCCCAGCCCAGCCTAGCGTTTGTAAACCCGTTGAGAACTTCGAAAAGACTAAACAGGATCCCCTCACAATTTCCTCACACATCCCCCGTACCCGTACAACTCGCTCCAGCCCCAACCCCAGCCCCAGCACCAAGCCCACCAGCAGATCCAGATCCAGCTCTATTCTTCGAAACCACTTTCTTCTTCTTTTTCCTCGCCGTTCCGTCCCCGCTCCCACTGGTCAGTCCAGCATTAGGCGGTGCTTCCAACAACCAGCGCGCAATGGCCGAGGCGCGGTCCGTGGAGATGGGGTACTCCTTGCCGTCGTCTACGGACCAGCGGCGGATGTTTTGTGTCGGTTGGGTTTGGGTTTGGGCTTGAGCTGTTCCGCTGCCGTTAGTGGTGGTGCTGTTGGGTGGTTTGGTGACTCCGTTTGTGTTTGTCGTCGTCGGCGTGCTGTTACCGTTGGCGGTACTTGGGGTGGTGCGGGTAAGTGCGGTTGAGGTTGAGGTTGAGCCTGAGCCGTTGGTGGGTTGTGAGGTAGGTTTGGATCCGTTGGTTGCGGTGGTGTTATCCTTTGGCGGCGGCGCCTCCAAAGCAAGAGACTCGAAATCACGGCCGGTGAGCTTGGCGTCCATGGCTGCCACGGCGTTGTCGAGCCGGTAATCGTTCTCCGCGCGCAGCTGACGGGCCTTGACCGCCATACGGAAGGAGGCTTCGTCTTTGATCCTGTCGTCTCCGAGGGCGTCAATGATGGCTTGGTGCTGGATACGTTCCTTGCGCTGCTTCTCGGCATCGGCGGCGTGGTTTGTGTCGTTGCTGGAGGTCGAGCGGACGATGGCTCCTGGTTCTGCCGGACCCCCGGTTGGAGGTGGTGGAAGGGTTTTGTTTTGCCTGATGGGGCCTGGCAACGCTACCGGCACTGATCCGCCGCCGGTAGCTGAAGGTTGGAAAAGTGGGAGAGGTGCTGGGGCGCAGAGGTCTTCCCATGTCCCCGCTAGCTGGATGAAGTTCCCGGAGGCGCGGAGAACCTCAGTCCAGTCGGCGCGGGCTGGTGAGCGACTAGCTTGGAAGATGGGATAACCATCGGCGAGGCGCGCCAGTCGTGCTACCATGTAGGCGTGTCGAAGTAGCTCCTTGGCTGATGTCTGGATAAGACAGTGACAGAGGAGAAGAGCGTGTAATGCGTCATTCATCAGAGGATGGTAGGTGAGAGTCTCCGTTGTCGTCTGGAAGGCAGCGAATGTGGGTTGTTGTTGCTGTGGGCGTACGGGTGTAAGCTCCGTACTAGGATACGGAGGCAGGTCAGCTGGGGGAGACGCTGCGAAGAGGTCCGAGAGAGCAAAGATTCGGTGAGTAGGTTGGCTCTCGCCAGGTTCGCCGGTCACGGGAGAGTCAGAACGGGAAGCATGGGAGAACGATCTCGGGACGCGAACCCCATTGGCGGCGTAGTTGACTTTCCGGGCAAAGTCTTCGGCGATCTCGATGGGTAGATCAGGCGAATACTCAAAGTGCGACAGATAGTTTATGTAGTCTTTCAGCGCACGCTTGGCGTTGTGACGGACGAGCTTCCTCGCCTCCATCACCTTTTTCTGGGCGTCTTGCTCGGCAGGCGTTAACACGGGTATGGCCTGTGGTGTGTTGCCGTCATCAGAGATATCACCATTCGCAGCTTTTCCTGCAGCAGACTTGGCTTCGGCGGGTTTGGATGGGAAAGCAGCTTGGACGTGCTGACAGGCAATGGTCAGATAGACGCCAGCGCGTTGGAATAATAGCTGAATTTCCAAGCTATTCGGCTGCTCCTCCTCCTTGAGCACAACGTCCTCGTGTCTTGGTCCGCCAGATCGGGCTTGAGGATGATTGTGGTGCTTTGGAGCATTTTGTGGTAGCCGGTAAAAGCGATGTATCCTGAGGGCTTCTGTCAAATCGGCAATGGCGCCCTCAAAGTCCTCCTTGAAAATCCTCACAGTGGCGCGGGTCCTTAGTGGCTCTCCCTGGGTAGATTTCTCTGATATAATTTCACTCAGGGCATCCAGGTTGGTGCATTGGGCCAGCTGCCTACTCGGTATTTTCTCGTGAAAAAAGTGTACGTATTTGGCGTCGGCATCCTGGGGGTTGCGCTGGAGTACAAGCGAGGCCACCTCCTCAAGGGGAGAGGCACTTTGCATTGTAGCCACACTGGACGCTATCTCATCTAGATGGTATGCTTTGGAAAGCTTCTGAGTCGCCTGTTCCCTCATTCGGTGTTTTCTTTCTCGACTGAGCTTCGTTTGCCCGCCCGGTCCAAACAGTCCCAGAGCATGATGAGGGCCGCCGGACATATTGTGCTGGGATACTGTTGCCACACCACTGGCGGCACGTACAGCCAGATTTGTAGCATCATCGACGAGGCGGCGGATCTTGACAAGATCAAAGAAGACCGAGGGATCGATAGGCCGCGGCCGTGGGGTATTGTAGTTCAAGTTGGCCAGAGTCTCGAGGATCTCAGGAGGGAGCTGAAGCCATGGGCCGTGGAAAGACGAGATATAGCGCCAATGCCTGGTTGATATCAAGGACAGAAGGTCAGTGTATGGTTCATGGGCTCGCTGGGCGCATAGGGAGGAGGATAGCTAAGAAGGTCAAGAGCAAGACATGGACTTGGAGAAGACCAAGGACGGGCAAAGATGGCTCTTCCTTGGGCCAATTGGCAGTGCTATGGGTCGCGGAGGGGAACGGCGCACTTATTCCGACAGATGATGAGTGCCGGCACCGGAGGCGGTTGTTGCTGTGGCTGGGTGGACGCCTTCGTCTTTGCCGTCTTCTTGCTTCCACTTCCACTTCCACTTCCACTTCCACTTGCGGGATCTTGGGTCGCGGGAACAGCAGGCGACTGTACCTCACTGGCGTTGTCCTCGGCTGAGGTCTTTTTCTTCTTGGCCATCTTGACAGTTGGTCGGTCTTTGCGACTAACAGTGGGGAACTGTGTTGCTCGGTTGTGAGTGTGCCGGCGATGCGATGACAATGGGGTGGGGGCGAGGTCGCGATAGTCTCGAAGGGGTGGTCGGGAAAACGGGGGCACCGAGGCTTAAGGATGAGAACAATAAAGAGCCAGACGGCGACTCGAGTCCGGTGGTATTATTCAGCGTAAACGGTGGCCGTCATCGAGATAGAACGCTGGTGGCCGGCCAGTTGTTGTTGTTGTTCAAGGTTTGGTCTCGATTCTCGAATTCGACTTGCATTTCCCTCGGCGGTTGCGTTTGACGTCAAACCAATCTGTTAGTGCACACCCTGTAGTTTGCGCGGAGTGGGGGGCCTGTAGGGCTGCTTAGGGGAATCACCGCACTATCGGGGGAGGGCACAGCGGCGCTGGAAGCTGCACCCCAGGCACCAAGCAGGGTCTCTTATCGTAGCCGCCAGATAAGCTCGTGGAGCTCGAGATCAAATGTGGGGCCGGGTTGTAATTGTAACTTTGGTAAGGTAACTTCTCAACTCCTTCCACATTCTCTTCTCAGTTTCACTTCACCAGACCAAGTCTCCCTTCTTCAAGATCTTCAATTGTCAATTCGTTTACGATGCTATTCCAGTCTCACTGCATACATATACACAAGCTTTGTCTCACATTCAACCCCTGGATGCAACTACCACAAACCGCTCACCGTTTCATCGTCAATCAATTACTCACCACCAACCCCAACCCTCGAGTCTACCGAGACATCTGTTCTCCCTGCCTATCCAAAAAGCCATGTCATTGTCACTATTAGGAGCGGTTGAGGAGTCAGCAACTGTCAATTTTCACGATCTATTTCCATCACAATAACTTGATAGGGGAATGGAACACTTACCTGGGATCATCTGCTAAACCACGAAACATCCGGAGCCGGAGCCGGAGCCGTCGTAACCGCCGTCGACTCCTCAGCCCTTGGAAGCACAAATGTTCCCTTTTCTCGCCCAACGAGACATTCGCATGCCCTCCGTATCTGATCTTCCGGTCGACCCCGCCATTGGTTGAGGACAGTGTTCCATCATGGGTGGCGCCCTGGCTACCACCCTTCGTCGTCGACCAAGCCGAGGAAGAGCTCTGGCCGATTTGGTTGGGATCTGTGTGGTAGTCACCGTCGTGGTCGGAATGATGGTCTTGGTAACCGTTCGGGTGACGGTTATGGTGACTGTTATGGTGGTCATATCCGGTTCGCTATCGTCGTCGCCGTCGTCGTCATCGTACAGATGGTGGCCACCGAAACGCACCTTTGGGGGTTTGGCTATCGGCATCGGCGAGACTGCGGGTGGAGGAGTCTGTGGTGAGTGGAAATGCGGGTTGGGCGGCTTGAACTGGTCGCACAACTGCTGGACCTGCCAAGTAAGACGAGCAAAAGGACTCGGCCAGCTTCCGGTTTGTGTCGGGTTCGTCGACCGGCTCAAGCAGTTGGAGGAGGGCATTGTCCTCGCACCTGTCTTGGTGCTTGATGCTTCTCTCACGGCAAGTGCGTGAGGGGGCCGAGAGGACTGAGTGAACGAGTAGTAAGAGGCTCCAAGGGAGAAAATGCGTCAGGTTCATGGTGGTGAAAAGAGATTCGTTGGCTGTGCTTTGGTCAGACACAAATCCGCTGACCTCTACACCTCACCTCGCCCGATCATGGGCATACATCTACATATAAATGGGTGGCGGTCATCTCGAAAGCTATCGGTGACGTGTGCGAGTGCGCCGAGGTGGCAGATATCGTGGCTGGGATTTGGAGTTGGAATGCTAACCTCCCTCCTGCCATCTAGTGTCTCTCTACTGCCCACATTCCGTGCTGCTAGTGCGAGCACCCACACATTGGAACGAAACCCAAGTACTCTGCGGCATTGACAATTAATTCCAATGCCTTCTCTCCCTGCTTCTAGAACTCTGATTGACGCTATCAAGCTCGCATACACACTTCCCAGCCTCTGCACATGTTGTGGGCTTCTATATCTTCAAAGTTTCATGAACAGGCAAATTCATCTCAGTGATCCGGTATGACCCACGGCCTGCTTGCCTACGCCCTTCACAACACTACTCTGTTTCCTTTGACTGCCTTCCAATGTTTCGCAACGGTCTATTCCACCCTCCAGCCTGACGCAGGCTTCGATGCCCTGTCTCCTAGCGGGGGATATGGCCGAGGAATGCATCGAGCCCTTCTTCACCAACAGGCTCACTTCGATACGCACCATGAACCGTCAGCGAGTCGCGCATCAAGCGCTATGCATTGACCAGACGTCGACTTCTTCGTGTGTTATCTTCTTGCAATGACCGTTCTATCGAAACACAGAGTTGCCAGGTGACCCTGTGTGTCAAGCAAGTTTGGGAGAAGCACGATCACTGTCATGTTTGGGTATACTACATAAGGAGGGTATCCGTTATCCCAGCACAATACAAGTCATATATACAGCTTTCCCCTGCCATCGAGGCCTCCATCGTAACGCAATCAATCCTTTGCTTTACACTATTGCTCTCCCATCACTATCTACCTCAGTTCAAGAATTAAACACAAAGGGCAGACGCTCTTGTCTACACAACCATCCCTCATCATAACCCCGAATTCCTTGTACCAGGCCCTAAATTTCAAGTCGAGAAAAGCGAGAAAAGCGAGAAAAGCGAGAAAGCGGATAAGCAAGATTGCCGAAGCTAATCGGCATGAGAAGTAGGTAGGCGTGGTTCTCACGCAGAGACCTCTTCGCTCCAAGTATCCGCGAGCTTCAACTCAACCACGCCATGGGCAGTTCCCTTTGGATCCATGTACACTCGAGAGATCTCCAAGCCGGCTTCAGCGGCGACGGACCTCCATTGATCAAGGCTGCGTTCCTTTCCGCCGATTGAAAGCATAGAGAAATCCTTAAAGGCAGCGTACATCTGCTGAGAAGACGGCTGCGAGGTCGTAGGAGGACCCTCTTCTGGAGTGATCTGCTCAGAGATGAGGATCCGAGCTTCGGGGGAAAGTGAACGGGCAACGTTGCGCAAGATATTGGAGCATACAGGATCCGAATAGTCGCGCATGATGTGCCGGAGGTAGTAAATCAGCGCGCCTATGAATGAGTTGTTGTTAGAGTCTTGCTTGATATGTCAGCACAAAGGAGGAGGCGAAGTTGTTTGCTTACCCTTAACAGGACTCTGGCAATGGAAATCCAATGGCAGGAACCTTACGCCCTTCATCTCATCGTCTTCTTCTTGGACACCTGCTCTCCTTGCACCCTCCTGAACGACGTCGTCCAAATCATGAACCACACACTGGTGGGCCTTCAAACCGTCATGTCCACCATACTCCCTCAAAAAAAGTTTAACCGAGTGGCCGCCGCCACCGCCAACATCGACCCAGACCGTCTCACGTCCGCCAGCCCTCGCTTCAGACAAAACCAAAGTCATGTCGTAAATGCCGACGGTCGGCACCCTCGATGAATGGGTGATAGACATGGCCTTCATGAACTCGGCCATACGCTTTGGATCCTGACACACCAAGTCAAAGTACTTTAGCTCCGGCTTCTTCTCGTGCACAGTCAACGGTACATGGTTGACGCCGACGGGCTCACGGCGGCCGTACGTGTCAAAGTAGGACGGCAGGGATGCGGATACAGACACGATGTTGGTGTGCAGGAGCGAAAACATGGCCGACATGGGGTGTGTTGAGACGAGAAAGAGGGACGTGGGGGTGTGGTATAGACATAGGCCATCCTGGGACCGGCCGAGGATGGCGGTTGAAGTGAGCATTTTGGAGATGCGGACTAATAAAGAAGAGGTCATTAGAATAGCTTCTAAAAGTCTGGAAGCTATATGAGGCACCAAGATGTGGGGAGGGAGATGAGACTTACTCAACAAGGACTGCTCAACATTCACTTTCTCTGCAAGGTCGGCAAACGAGATCCCCCCGTTCAATTCGGATTCTTCCGATCCGGAACCATTATTGTTGGTCACCGTGATGGGGATGGGGATGGGGATGGCATCAAAAATACCCCAGTGCTTGAAAAGGTTGATGGCCGATACCACACTCATCTGCGCAAACAATCCCATGATCACCTCCTGCGGAGGAGGACGAGCAGCACCATCCGATGACTTTTCAACAATGGGTTTAGGCGGAACAACAACAGCCGCCCTAGGTTATAAAGTCAGAGGAGAGATGTTCCTCTCGTTGTTGTTTGGGGGCGTTCCTGGCAGTGATGCGCCCGAATCCGGATCCGGATCCGGAGATGTTACCACGCCATCATCCTGTAGCCCGCGGAGGATGCCAGCAACTGCTTCACCTCAGTCAGAACTGAGAAGGCCTCCTCCATGTCGCGGTCGGAGACGTCTCCGCTGGTGTTCCTTTGATCGGCGGCTTGGACATTCTTTTTGTCGACGAGATATTGGCCAGTGATCTGGTGAATGGCCTTCAACGACTTGATGGCGCTCGCGGCGCTGTTGTTGCCTTTGGGAACGCTGCTGCGGATGGCACTCGGTTTCGCATACATGTTTTTTAAGCTCAGACCAACCGCCTCTTAGAAAGAGTTAGTTCTTGGCCACGCGGGCCATAGTGTGGAGGGTGTTTGGTTGTGCTGGCTCTTGGTTGTGCTAGCTTTTGGGGGTTTGTGTAAAGATGGGGGTGATAGATGATAAGAAGGAGAAAGATATGATGGATTTCACGGTAAACCTCACTCACCCTTATATACACGACAATCAACTACACGCCGCCCTGAATGGTTTGGGGGTGCTTAGTCAACACGGACTTGTTCAACACGGACTTGATCATCTGCCCGCTGTATTCATCCAAATCAAGTAACCGACGAGTTATCAAGGCCATGCCAACAGAATCAAGGGTTCGGATCGACGGCGGCCGCCCGACGGATATACCGAAGAATCTCGGGAAACTCGCAAACGAGCTCCCCCCAAAAATTCCCTTCTTGAGCGCCAATATGCCAGCAGTTCTGTGTGGTGCAAGTCCGACTTCGTTCATCGAAACGCACGGAAGTTACGGTAGTTAGCAGAATTTGGGCCTTTTCACTAACAACGCGGACCTGTATGCGATTTGATGTACGTTAACCCGCTGGCATATCTGCGCCCAAGAAGGTAATGACTGAAGGGGCTCGTTTGCGAGTTTCCCGAGATTCTTCGGTAATGTTGGTTGGGAGGTGCCATTGTCCCATGATTGCGAGAGGTTGTCTTCATAGAGAGTTGGTTGGGCCTTTGTACTTTGTACCTGGGCAAACATAAAGAGCGAGCAAAAAGGTAAGGGCAGTGTCATGGTGACTGCGGTGAAGTTGGATGGAGAGATGCTTCAAGATGGCGGGACCCAGCAAACTAAACTGCCGGCAATTTCACGTTGGCTAGGTATGGATATGGATGGGGAGGGTGACCTGTTTGATGGGAAAGAGCAAGTTCGATAGAGTGAAGCCACCGCGCCTTCCCGCAACCCCAACGAGACGGTGCCATTCGATCCTTCACCGGGACCGGGATAAGTTGACCCCACTTATCGGGGCTCAGAAGGTTCTCTCATCCCTGAACTCAGGTGAGTTGTTCTTGCCTGCCATAAGCCCATAACCATGGATGGGTTGCATGATAACTTCCAACTGAACTTGCAATGTCAGCCGGAAGGTCTGGGGATTTCCATCTGGGTGATGAAACTTCCCAGTATCACCGTCGTAAGAGCTGATCAACATGACCGGACTTCAAGAACGAAGGAAGTTCACGTATATACAATAATCTCAGCAATACTTGAAGGTAACCTCAACGCCGAGGCCTTCATGCAACGCCGTTTCGTATGCACCACTATCCGGAACAAACTCGGGGGAAAACAACGTGGTCTTCAGCCGGGTCCGCTGCCCTCACGCCGTGACATATGCGTCTCACACTGTATCGTATGCATCCGGGGCCGCAGAGTCGGGCCGTTCGTTGCTTCCTGTCATGCTCCGATCCCGAATGCAGCGATCTGCCTCATAGGAGGTCTTCATCACAAATGGAATAAAAAAAAAAAGGCTTCTAGGGGTATTACAACAATTATGTATTACAGCCGGTCAGTCGCCCGTCTAACAGCAGTAGACTAGTGCCGACACTCACATAGCCAAAGTCTAGTCTAGACGAATTTAAGACCAGAACTCGAAGCCGGTGCGCTTGTCAAAGATCAAGTTCAGCCAACCAGCAAGTCTGACGCCGCCCTTGATAATGCTGCGCTCAACAACCTCCGTAGCGCCCCTGTAGTAATCACCGCCGATCTCGGTACCGTTCAGCTGGTTGCCGGGAATCTTCATGACGTAGTGGCAGACCTCCTCGTTGCCGTCATTAGCCCAAGCGGCAGCCGCGCGCTCAGCAGCCTTCCTGTCGGTGACCGAGTGGTAACGCAACCACCTCCGGACGTCCTTGCGGTACGTGCCCTGGTTGATCTTGGCGGCGAGGTTGTTGGCCCACCCCAAAAAGTCGGCGTTGGTGATGTTGGCGGCGCTGGTCGGCGGGGAGATGCCGAGCATGGTGTTGGGGATCGACGTGTCCCAGGCGGCGTGCAGGTTGGTCTTGTAGCCCAGGAAGGTGACGGTGATGTTGTTGGCTCCCTCGCCGAAGGCTTCGGTGTGCAGAGGCTGGGCGATATCACCCAAGAACTGTAACCGTTACGGGGGGTTAGTGAAACGGTCCTCCATTGATGAATGAAACCCGGCCAGGTTTATCGGGTCGGGTGAGTGGAACGAACGTGGATGATGAACTTGAGAGCCTGCGCCTTCTGGTCGGCGGGGAGGTCCGTCTTCTGCACACGCTCGGTCTACAATCATACATGGTTAGTCAATTCCTTCACTCTCTACACTACCATCACATAGGCTGAGGTCAACATACGTAGTTTCCGATAGCGGAAACGACACAGCCCTCAGGAGGGCAGTCCTCGGGGAAGACAAGGTGGCAGCTCTCCGGGGGAGGAGCGTCATGGCCGTTCACATAGTGAAGACCCGCGGACCAGTCATTGCCAGGCTCATAGCGAAAAGAGTCAGCCCACGAGGCAATGTTGCCCATGTAAGTGGTCGAGTTGTCGCCCAAGATGGCCTGGACCTGCTTCACCGTGTTCGGGGTGAGATACTGCTGAGCAACGGACGCGACGGTAGCATGGCCGAGCTTGCCCCAGGCGCTGACAGTCGCGGCCTGGAGGACGACGGGGAGGACGACAGAGGTCTTCATGATCATGGGCGTTGCTGAGGACGAGACTGAGAGTGCTGAACAAGAGACTCGGAGACCGTGAGGAAAGCCAGCAATTGCTGGTCCACGGCGCCGGCGACCATTTTAAAGCCAGCCCTTCTAGAAGCGAGCCATATCTGCCGGTGGCAAGCTCGGAGTTGTGTCCATGATAGCACTAGGGTTGTAGAGGTTGCAAAAACAAGTGGTTGGAATTCCGCGGGTTGTGGGGTTGATGGACAGCAATAATACGGATGTCGGATCCCCGAAAAGGAAGCTGCAAAGAACGCTTGTAATCGGCGCCGATCATTTCGGGTCCCGATACTATCGCAAAGGCTACATGGCTAGTATAGAATTGATACATGGCTAGTATAAACCCACTTTTCTAGGTGTGCAGCCAATCTCTGGCTCCCAACGGCGCCCGCCAACCTCAACATTGCTACAGCCAAGTGCATTCGCGCGCGCCCTCTTTCGTGCTGCTATGATTGATTTGAAGCTATCGCCATCTCCGTCGCTGTCGTTGTCAATGCCAATGTCAATGCCAATGTCAATATCAATGTCGTTGCCACTGCCACTGCCACTATCAATGGAATCGTTGTTGCATCCCGTGATCCGCCGCGACGCTTTCGCTTCTTGGTCTGTTGCTCTTTAGATGGATCGTAGACCTACTCTCCCTTGTCCAGTTTGTCGAGAAGCGCATCCCACTTTGTCCAATTCTTCGTCAAGATGGCAATAAGGGGCGACATCAATACCAACTGTAACAACTCCAACAATATCAACAGCTTCAACTGTGGATTTGGTGATGCGCCTTGTAAGTTTTTGCACGGCTGACACAGATATGGTTGCGCGGCCAGAGAAGTGGGTTTATACTAGCCACGTATCAATTCTATACTAGCCATGTAGCATTTGCGCGATACTATGGACCCCGGCCGGGGCGAGTACGGCACATCATGTACGGCCTGACGCCGCAATGGATCGGGAGGCGATGCAAACAGTTCTGACAGGTAACCATCCGTGTTCCGTATATCATGATGATATAGGTAGCCTCGATGATGCTAAAGACAAAAGGGCGGACGAGAAGAGACAGAGGACGGACACCGGCTAAGTACCCGGTACCCACGTGACATTTACACTATCCTTGATTGGCAGGTGCACTAACATCACCCTTGTAGTTCGATGCTATCGTGGCTATCTATCCCGATCCAACAACTGTCGTCGTCATCGCTCTTCTCCTAGGGTCCTTGGGACGAATGCAACTGGCTCGGTGGTTGTGTTATGAGTATCAATGATATCGAACCGCAGGCATGCTGTTAGAGCACTATCTGCACAGCCACTTATGACAACCTCCTGAAGCTATTCCCTAAACACCGGATGTCTTGCGGCAAACGACCCTGACAGAGAAGCACTTTGCCCCCGTCATACGAAGACCTTGTCCCGCATGAAGCTTGGGGTTATTTGCTCAGGAAAAACCAACAGCTCGCAAACACGAACACGAATCGTCAATTCTAAATCCCAGAACGACCACACATCCCCCCCAAATGACACTGCCTAGATGTGTGGTGTCTAGATGTGTGGGAAGATCTGCAGCCAGTCCGGAACAAAGTAAATGCCATAAGCCATGTGACGAACACTGATAAACGATTCCACAATGAGATACCCCCGAACGACAATGAAAAATACCAGGAATACTATAGCCACGAAGAAATACCAGGCATTAAGGAACCGCGTGAGCCAAAGATGCGACGTCTGATAACCCAGCCGGTGATACTGGAAGTGATATCGCCGGAGCAAGACAACTTGGAAGCGATACCACAACACAGCAGGAACGGTAGCCATCATCGTCACGCTCGCTATCTTCCAAATAATACTCTCGACTCGTCCAGGAAAGACGGAGTCCCAGGCTGCTAGGTGGATAGCGCCAATCAAAACGCTGATAATCGTGCAGACGAGGCGGCTCACTCCGCCGATGCCGTTGAAGATGGCATCTAGGAAGGCCGCGTACCGTGTGATCACTCTGGGACAGCTTTCCTCACATAGTCCCTTGCGATGAACATCGATGGTGTTCGGCGTAGGTTGTTCGCTGTCACTGACGTGTTGGGTTTCATCCTTCCGTTTGGCAGCAAGTGGGTTGAGCTTGTCGACCTCAAACTTGAGACTTTGAAACGCGGTCTTGTATGCAAGATCGAGGTACCGATAATGCTGGCCCGTTGATCCATATCTGATGTAAGCGTAGGGCTCTGGTTGCTCGACTGGTTTCATGCTGTACAGTCTCTCAACAACCTCAATGTGTCTCGCTGCTCTTTCCGCACGGCAACGATCGGCCCGGGTGAGACGGATTGAGAGCTTGTCTTCTTCGCGGACCGGGCGGTATGCGTTTTTCATGTCAACTCGCCAGTTGTCCGCACCGTTCCAAATACATCTCCAGTTCGGCTGTTGAGAGACGGGCATGTGGCCGAATCCGCAGGGGAGTTGCTGGTTAACCCCTAGATCGAAAGTTTCCGGATCCCCAATATGTGGCTGGTTCGGGTCTACCTCTTCAATCGCAACCGGCAGGACAGAGTCCTGTGAGTCTGTCGTCGACTGTCCGGATTCTATAAATTCCTGAAGTTGGTGTGCTGGAGTCGGCTGAGGCGTCGCTCCTTGGGCCATCTGATTGATGACAATCCGGGATGTCTCTTGTTTGATAGGGTTCCGACCATCCCCTTCTTTGGAAGCCTTCAGCTTGTTCAGTTGTTCTTGTTTCCACTTCAGGTTTAGAAAGCCAGTGAAATTCTGTAGGTCACAGAACTGTTCCTGAACCATTAGCGCTAACGCATCTTGAAAGCCCTCAGTATCCCGTTTATCTTTGAACTCGGCAGGCCTAACAAAGACAGGTTGTCGCACGTCAAGTGGTTTCTGAGGAAGTGTTAGTCACAAATTGGCGTGGAATCGAGAAGAGAAAAAAAAAAGAAGAAAAAAAGGGATAGGCAAAACAAACATTTAACCAGCACAGATACAGTAACATTGCAACCACAACGTGGCCAAAGGTGTGCAATTCCAACAGAGAAATGGGGTACCCCACAGCTTTTCTGGCAATGCACTGAATCCCCATCCATGCAACTTGCACAAGCACTACGCACTTTTGCACCAGTGCTCCTTTGCTCTTGTCCTCAATTACGGTATGCTCAACCAAGAGTTTGTCCAGGTACCCAAGCATGGCCAGCTCTATTACTCCATCGGCTGACAGAGGAAGGGTTCGGGCATGTTGTCGCCATGGAAGTGAAATCGGACATAGTCTGATGGTTTGATGTCAGAGATGTCGACCTGTAGGCCGCCCATGACAACGAAGTAGCAGAATTTCATATCGACCATGGCCAAGAACTATACTTGATGTTAGCCCATATACTCATGTCAAGAAGACTATAGCAAACAGACGAATAAGTCGGTCTTTTTTCTGTCCACATACCTTTTTTCGTTGGCATACCTCGCATTTCTCGGTTCTTTTACATTCTCCACATGGATTGCCTTTCTCTTTGGGGTTGTTGATGATCTCCTTGAGCTTCTTCTTCAATCGTCTGGCGTCGAGATACTCCTGAAAAGCGAGTGCGAACACGGCCTCAGGACCCAGGACCACCACAAATACCAGGGCGGCTTTGATGAACATGAAGCTCCTTTTGCCAGAGCCACCGGGGGGTACAGTCGGATGAATGGCAGTATAGGCGCAAGCGATCAGGGTCACCAGGCATGATATGATGATATCACCGGTACCCCGAACATTCGGCGAACTCACCCATGGCGGAGCGGGCTCCTCGTTCAGTATGTCTTTGTTATCGCGGTTCTCGTAGATGAACTCGCGTACCTCGTCGGAGTTTTTGGCCGCCCACGCGCAGACGACGAAGAAGAACGTGACGAAGAAGTGACGAAGATCCAAGGCCGACATGGTTTGTGTCTCTCGGATGACCGAAATGAAAAGCCAGACTGGGTTCAGAATGTCATCTCCAAGCTGTTCGATAAGCAGAGGATGGCCGCATATAAGCATACTTTGCCCAAAATATCTCAAGTCAAAGTTGCCTTGCTGACTGGACCATCTCTGTTCCCGTCTCTTTCCCCATTTGCTCAGCGCAGGCTCTTCTGTTTGGCCAACACTCTCGGTTCTCGTCGAGCCTCATCGCTTATCGCAAGCGTAGATTGGTCTGTGAAACACTCTGTCAACTTGATGATCTTCCCCAGGCCCGGTTTACCTTACTTCTGAGGAATAACACAGGGCCTATCATTCTGCAACACAAAGCGACATCTGCACCTTTGACAGGTCTCGACCGGAGAGCAGTCCGTGACAGAGAAGGCGTCGAATGGATTCTCTGACAAATCGACTGCGCATATGCAGCCAGGGTCTCACGGGTCCTTCTGGCTGACTCGAGCCTGGAATACCAGCAACCGCAGCAGACGTCGTGATGGCTTTGGAAATGGCTGCGTGTCTGAGTAGCTGCGAAGGAGGTACGCAGTGGATGCCGGGATGCCCGACACAGGTAAGGCTTCCAATCCCACGAAGACACGGATGTCCATATCGCGCCCGCCGCCAGGCTCTCGGAAGCCGGAATAGCCAGCAAAGCGCATCAATCGCCCCCGTTAATTCTGTGTGGCTCTCCGCGGGGAAATTCATGATGAGGGGGGGAGAGCCAAGCATGCAAGTCTCGTCCACGTCTCCACGATGCAGTACTGCTGTTTTGTTGGCCTGAGAGAAACGCCGTCTCCGTTTGTGCGAGCAAGTGAGGGCCTCGAAGACAAGAGGGGTCTCTCGTTGATTGTGGTGTCGTCTGATTGCATGGCGGCAAAGAGCGTCATGAAAGAGCGAAGGAGTGTATGGTCATGATGGTGGCATGCGATGGAAGGTTCGCCGCTTGATGACGCGGGGATTTAACTCATGTTGTTGCTTTTGGGAACGTTGTGGCTGACAAGATTCGTAGTTTTGAGAAAGATGGCTCTTTGTGCAGCTTGATGGTGGTTCAGTAAAAACAAACACAAGCTTACCGGTCTTTACCCCATGTTGGCCAACCTCGTTTAGAAGGCTTATCGTATTTGAACTGTGTAAATGAGGCTTACGTAATTGAGCGGCTTATATAATTAACGTGTCCTATTTCAGCGGTTGGATGAATGAGCCGTGTGTGAATGGTTATTGTGGCAATGGTTTATAGCTTCCTGAGTCGTACGTTTTGATTAACGATTATTAATTTGTTGATTATAATTTAATAGTATATATATAGTTTGAATATTATTAGCGTATATATTAAGTATTTGTTGATGTATTTAATGGTTAACGGTATAAACGTGGTATATATTATATATGTAGGGTTAAAATATATGAATAGATAAAATTATTATTTATTAGGCAGAGTAGTAGTTGGTATGGAATAACCTTTAATAATATAGCCAATTAGTATAACCGTTTATAGCTATTAGTCAGTTACTTTATTATTCGTTTAATTATGTTTATTAATTATTCGTATTGTAGTTATTTATATTGGCGGTATATTAAAGCCTAGCGGTTATGTTTAGGCTTATAAGGTTGACCGTTTATATTTTATAAATTGATTGTTTCATTAGTAATTTGCTTGATATATATTATTCTATTTAAATTTATAGAATTAGTCGTACATTGTATTTAGTAGTTATTACTATTAATAGATCTTTTAGAATTTGATGTTGTGTGGAGGTTTACGAATTTAATATTTTATTTTAATAGAGGGTTTGGATTATAAATTGTTAAGTCTTGTTAATAGTTTGTCTTGGTGGAGGGTTTGGAGTATGAATTGTTAAGTTTTTTTAATAGTTTATCTTAGTAGAGGGTTTAGAGTATAAATTATTAAATTTTATTAATAGTTTGTTTTGGTAGAGGGTTTGGAATATAAATTACTAAGTCTTTATAAGCCGCTTATTTTAAAATAAATTGCTCCTACGTCCGTACATTTAATAATTTTTTAGTTAATACTATAATTTAGTAATAGTATGGTGCAATAGGCGATAATAGCAGTAAGCGACGATAATAGTAGGCGGATTATATATACCTTTTTAATTGATGAATATTAGTTATAATATAGTACTTCGGATAATTAATTAATTAATCAAATTCTAAATATTGTAATAATTCTTAAGTGTTTATTCTATAGTATTGTATTATAATTGAATTGGTTTTTATTCGCCTGTTCTATTGCTGTCCTGCTTTGTCGCTGTCCGTTTCGCTATTATTTATTATTATTTATTATCTTTAGCTCCCCATTATTAACGGTATATATGTTACTATTCTTACTATTTAATTGAGATTTAGATTATATATTTTTAATAATAGGGGGGGGCGAGTTCCTAATATATATAATTCTTTCGTTTATTATTATATAGTACGCTTTTTTAAATTATTACGACCTTATTATTTCTAGTGAATATAATAATTTAGGTATTGTAATCAATATATATAATTAAGTATAGTAAATAGAATTATTTAATATAAATATATTAATAATTAAATTGTACTAAGCTCCGCCCCCTCTATTTCCTTCGTTTCTTGTAAGTTGCTATATAGTTCCCTTAGAATATAAGAATTATAATTATTATTAAGTAGTATAATATTAACCAATTATTATTATATATAGATTATATCCGCCTAGCCTTTCTTCTCTGACGAGGAGGCTATTGAAGTTATTGTCTTTACGTCTTTGGGCTTTTAGCCCTCTTCTAAGCCCTCTCCCGCTTTGTCCAGCACTTCCGAGGCCGTTATCCCCGCTATTATCTCCGATAGTAAGAAGCTCGCTCCCCGTAAGCTTACTTAGGCGGCCCATATTGAGAAGGTTCGGTATTAATTTTGGGATGCTAAAGCGGCCTATATCAAGGCTAAAAAAGTATACGATAATGCCGAAGATCGGATGAATATAGTAATAGTAGTATACGCTAACGAAAGTTGTAAGGTGTGACGGCGCTGGCAGACTGGGTCTGGGATTGGGTTTGGGTATTATACACGAGGTAGTTTATGAGGCTGTTGGAATGAGATATATGGAGGTTCTAGGTATAGTATAAATTAGGAGATACGAGCTATTTAATTAGCTATATTAAGACTGGTTATAGGGTGGACCTTAGTATGTGCAGGGGTTTATTTTATAGGTAAAGGGGATGCGAGTAAAGGGATTGGCTGTTAGCAACCCGTATGTAGGTCCTGATATCGCTTGTGCGATTAAGGTATTTATTTAGGTTTATACGTTTGTATTTAGTTTTCTTCCTCTTTTCTTTTCCCTATTTAAAATCTTTTATTATAAATGGAATTTTAGCTTTGCCTTTGATTCACCTATACTATGCCCTTATATTATTTTAAATTAATTCAATAATTACTTAGGAAGGTTAAATCCCAAATTAAGAACGAAAGTAAAAAGATTTATTGTAAGAATTTAAAGTATTAAGTATTTATAATAATAATACGATGGTACTACTACGTTAAATATATAACAGCGCCGGTAATTGTGAAGGTACTGAATAAATTGAGAAATATAACGACGATTATTACGGTAGATATATAATAGCGCTGGTAATTGTGAAGGTACCGAATAAATTGAGAATTATAATGACGATTATTACGCAGAAGCTTTTAACGACGATTGTAATAATATTTTCTTCGGAGAGGAGGGTGGAGATAGTAATGGAGAAGAAGGCTTTGGTTCTTTTAATTTTAACCCTAAGTAAGAGGAGGATATAGTTATTAAACCGAAGTTTAAGAAGAAGGTCGTCGTTAATAATAAAAAATTTATTCCTAAATGTTAAATTATTGATCCTATTATTAAAGATAATACGTATAAGGCTGTATATTTTAATAAGGAGTGATATAATAGCTTTTACCTAAATAAAGAATATTTTCGTAGTAAATCTACGATCTTTCGTAAAAAGTCCCTATATTATATATATTATTAATTAAAATTACCCGACGAAGTATTAATTAATATAGTTGTTAATATAAGATAAAACGACGAAGAGTTTGAATTATCTTTTCATTTGTTCGATTGATATATCACGATAGCGGTTAAAAATATTAAGATTTTCGATATTCGTTTAATTTATTATAAGGTTATTAACGATTTAAAGTAAAAGATGGAAGAATTTGTTGAATTATTTATTTATAATTCCGTTCTTAGTGTCCCCTTCCAAATATTATTCCTTTCGAACCTCCCGTTTTTTAATTATTTAATTAAAAAAAGTTTTACTAAATTGTATTATAGAAATCCTTAAACTATGTTCTAGGAATTTAAGTTATTATTTATTTATAAGTATAGCGTAGAAATAATAGGTGTTGGAATTTTATTGCCTCGTTTCCTATTTGAATATTAAATTTAAGACTATTTATAATTAGGTCCCTGCTCTGGCGGATTAATATGGCGTTGCTAGCCTTACTATAGTCTAATAATTGAAAGATTCTTTAGTTGAGAAGGAGGATATTATTGAAGAATTGAAGAATTTTATTACCGATTTGAATATTGGTAAAGGAGTGATTAAGAATAAGAATAAGGGAAAGGTTAAAGAAATAGTATTCCCTAGTATTAAGAAGGATGTTGGCGAGGCTCCCTTCCGGGCTTCTACCTACTTTTTAACCCTACCCCCCGAGATCGACCCCGATAATAGAGAGTGCTCTAGTTCCCGTTATTGTAGTACTAAGTAAGCCGACTTTGCTAAGTATTATAATTAAGATAAGGAAGATGATATTCCCTTTAAAGTTTAGTATAATTTGATTTAAAATAAGTTTGAGATTAATATTCATTATTACCCCTCCGATTACGATAATTTTTTATACGTTAAAAATCGTTTAGCCAGTTACGCTTATTGCGATCTGATGCTGTACTTATATGAAACTTACCCGGATTAAAATAAAATTTATTCTGATTTAATAACCTATTTCTAGTATTAATATTATAACCCTAATTAAGAGGAAAATACGTTTTAGAATTCTTTTAAATTAAAAATAAAAGATAATAATAATTTCGACTTTTTTAAGAATAAGTTTATTTAGATAGTTGGCGAGTATTAAGGCTCTAAAACCGAATAAAAATGTTAATTATGTTAATACTTTTTAGTTGAATATAAGAAATAGCTAGGCGCGAAATATTGTAATTTATTTATTTCCTTTAAATTTTATTATATAAATTATTCCGGTTTTGAATAAGTATTAAGGACTATTGCTAATGAGAATAAAGCTATTTCTAAATTTGGAAAAGGTAATAACGGAAATAAAGGATCTAATTTTGGTTCTTCCAGTTCTTCTAGCTCCGCCCCTAAGCCCGCTGGCGGTGGAGGAAGTGCCGTTCGTTAAGGTAGTAACTGTTACGAAGAAATTATTCGATTATTTAATGAAAGTAAATATTTCTTTTATAAAGAGAAAGGTTTATATTAAATGCGATTATTCCGAGAAGGAGCGTTTCGATTGTAAACGTTATGATTGTGTCGCTACTATTGTTAACCGTTATTTAATTTATTAAACCGGAGGTAATTAGATAGTTTTAATTACTCTAGTTATTCTAGCCGCTAACGAATAGGGAAATTAATTACATTAAGTAAATTGAATTCCTTTCCTAGGGGAGGTATCGGTTACAGAATAATAAAAAAGGGATAAATAGAAATATAAAGAAAGGAGGAATTTAATTTATTACCCTTCTTAGGAGGGGAATTTTTATTTATATTTAATATTTTAATTAATATAGGAGTAAACGGTTATTTATTTATTAGTACCGCTTTGATTAAAAGATTTAAAAAACGATTATTAGTGGAATTTACGAGTAACTTTTTAATTCGAAGAATTAGCGATTATTAAGGAAAAATGAATTCAAGTATTAAAGAGGTTATTAAAACCGCTTTAAAGATTTAGAATTGAATTACTTTGTCTGATTGCTTTATTATAATTAATATAGCGTACGATATTATTGTCGGCCGGAAATGGTTCGACTTTTTATGATATTTGGGTAGATTGTCTAAATCGGCGTTTATTCTTTCCCCTGGAATAGAAATTAGACCCCGATTGGTTGAAATACTTTGAGGTTTAAGATATTGTTGTTAATAAGGTGAACCCCGCCTATTAAAAAGATATAAATTACTGCGATTTATTAATAGATTAAGAAGATAAACGACGAACGGACGGTAAGAATAGTAGTTATATTATTCTCCAGCTTATTAGCGGATGTATTTATATAACCCCTATTTTAATTGATTAAATATTTTCTAATTATTATAAGAAGGAGATAAATTTCGAAGCCTAAGATTAATATTACTGCGAAGCCCGATAATACTAAAAGGAGATTGAGAAGTAGATTATAGAGTTGGAGGTAATAAGAGATTTGGAATTTAAAATGGTCCTTATTATACCTATTGATTTTTAGTATACCCGGGACGATAATAGCGAGTTTGGTTACGCGCGACCGCGTTATTTATTTTAGAATTTTATTATGATTTTTTAAAAAAACCGATTCTTTAAATAAGATTGAACGTAATTTGGTTAATTTATTTATTTTATAGTATTATTTCTAGAACCTGAATTATAATTCCGTTATTGAGAATAATCTGTCGAAGAGAAATAGGGATCGGATATTTAAGGTACCTATTAATTAAGGCGTAATAGTATAGGTTGGTATAAGTATTGTTTTATTTAGATGTGCGTATTGGATGGAAATCTTTTTATATATTCTACTAAAAAAGATAATTGGATTATTTATTTAATTAGTATTTTCGAAATCGATTAATTTATTTAATAGAAACGAATTATTAATAATCCCGCTTGGGAACTATTCCTTCGTAATGAAAAGGAGTTTTGCGATGAGGCCTTTCGAATCATTCCTTCTGAATATTATAACGAGATTGAAGTTTTGAGTAAGTATAATTCAAATATTTTATTTGAATACCGGCTTTATAATTATAAAATCGAATTCGACGAGGGTTATCGATTAAAAGAATTTGGATATAGCTTTCTATATAAGATGTTTTTCGATGAATTGGAGGCCGTATAAAAATATATTTTGGAAAATTTATCGAAAGGATTTATAGAAGTAAGTTCGTCCTTATAGGCTGCGCCCGTCTTATTTATAAAGAAAGTAGATAGTAGCTTTCGTTTTTACGTGGACTATTGGAAATTTAACGTTATTACCCGTAAAGACCGATATTCATTACTATTAATTGAAGAGACTTTTATTAAGGTAGTTAAAATATAATAATTTACGAAGATTGATATATAATAGGCGTTCTACTATATTTATATAATATTAAAGGACCAAGAGTTAATTACTTTCTATACGGGTATAAGAGTATTTAAATATAAAGTATTACTATTTGGCTTTATTAATAGATTAGCTAATTTCTAGAGTTTTATTAATTTAATTTTGGGAAAATACTTAAGCGATTTCTATATAGCTTATATCGACGATATTTTAATTTATTCGGATATTCTAAAAGATCATTGGAATTACGTTTAAAAGGTCTTTCGACGATTGAAGGAGGCTGGTTTATAGGTAGACTTTAAGAAATACGAATTCTATATTATAAAAATTAAATTCATGTGATTTATTATAGAACGAGACGGCGTCTCCGTCGATTTAGAGAAGGCGGAGATTGTTAAAGAATAGGTTATCCCTTCGAATTTGAGAAAAGTATAGTCTTTTTTAAATTTGTATAATTTCTATTGTAAATTTATTAAAAATTATAAATATATAGTACAATTATTTACAAATTTAATTTAGAAAGGAGAAGTCTTTACGTAGACCGATAAATATTAGATTGCTTTTAAGGAGTTTAAGCGATTATTCGTAAAAGCCCCGCTTTTAAAATATTTTCGTTATAATATTGAAACGAGAGTAGAAATAAATATTAGCGATAGAGTCCTAGCGGGAGTCTTATCCCAACTATAAAAAGATATTGAAGAATAGTATTTAATAGCCTTTTTTTTGGAAATTATATAGGGTGCGGAGTATAATTATTCTATCTATAATAAAGAATTATCCCTTGAAATATGACGACCCGAATTCGTCGGCTTCTAATAAAATAAGCCGTTTATAACTATTACGGACTATTAAGCGTTGGAATACTTTAGTATTAAATAATTCTTTAATTTTCGGTAAATTAGCTAGGCCGAGTTCCTTTCCTAGTATTATTTTGAAATTATTTATCGATTAGGTATTAAAAACGTAGTTAAAAACGCGTTGTCCTGTAAGTCTGAGGATTTTAAGATTTAGAGAGATAAGAAGAACGTGTATTGTACGCTTTAAATATTTAAATTTGTAGAGGAAGGAGGCGTTGAAGTATTTGCGATCGCTTCGATTTTAATAGATAAAGGATTTGTAAAGGAGTTAATTCCGATTATAATATTGGATAAGGAGAGTATAGAATTGAACCCCGTAGAATTAGAAGGATACGAATTAGTAGATATACTTATAAAAGTTAATTAAGAGGATAAGTCTTTAAAAGAGTATTACGTTTGTATTTACGGTTTAAACCCTAATTTTATAATATTAATTAATAGATTCCTAATATATTAAAATTGCCCAATTATTCCCGAATCCGATAATTTACGTACGCGTATTATTGATAAAATTTAGTCGACGTTGATTATAGTTTACCCCGGAAGAAATAAGACCCGCGTAGTTTTTAAAATATAATATTAGTAGTTGCGTATAATTAGAGATATCGATCGTTTTGTTAAGAATTATATAGTGTATAAAGTTAGTAAAGTCCTTAAAAATAAAACGCCTAGCTTATTATACCCGATTCCCCCGCCCGTTAAAAAGTGGACGTTCATTATTATAGACTTTAAAAAGATGCCGAGGGATAAATACGGTTTCGATAATGCGTTAGTAATAGTCGATTAATTATCGAAATCCTTTTAGGTTACCCTATATACGGAAAATATTATAGTTTGTAATATTGTTCGCATATATTACGAGGGATTATATTATATTTATAGTATATTAAAAAAAGTAATTTCCGATTGAGGATTATAATTTATATTCGTGTTTATAAACGAAATGTTCAAATTAATTAAAATTAAATAGAAGTTAGCTATTACGGAATATAGTTAAACGGTAGGTTAGGTAGAGGTTATAAATATTTATATTAATCAATATTTTCGGTTATTTATCAATTATTATTAAGACGATTGGTCTAAGGTTATTCCCGCCCTAAATATAATATAGAATAGTTTACCTTAAGATAGTGTAGGTTTATTTCCTTACGAGATTATATTTGAATACCTAATAAGATTGCCCTTTAATTAGGAGGCTCGTATTTAAAATTCTAATATCCTATAAATAGAGTAATTAATTCGGGAATAGGTATAGAAATACGTTTAATATATTTAAAGGTACGTCGAGTATACCCGGGAGATAATATTAAAGGCGTAGGAGTAATAAGTAGCGTAAGTAAATAAAAGAGAAACTCTATTCGCACGGGGATAAAACTCTATTCGCACGGGGACCGAAATTGAAAATTTAGTATCTCGCTGTAAATAGAAAGTATTAGGGTTCGTATAAGGGCTTGGATTTTTTATTAATCTTTTCTACATTTTACAAACCCTAACCCATAAGCGTACATACCTCGTGGCCTATATAATCAAAAAAAGCATTATTTTCTACTATGTGTTTTATTATTTTATATTGTAATTTCAAAGTCTAAAGTTTGAAATTTTTA